GGGGGGGGGGGAGGATGGGGATTAATGGGGGGGAATGAGGACACATTTGTAATTCCTTAACTAATAAAGAATTTAAAGATTTTTTAAAAAAATAACTGCTGCTCTCGCACAAAGGCTTTTCCTTGGGTCTGATTCTGCAAATGGGCCTGTAATGTACTCGAAGGACCTTTGCCTCATGGTGTTTGTATGGTGGACTCATTTCAACTTCCTTCCTACTTTATTTCTCCCTTCACCTTCCCTAGTGATCTTGCTTCTACCAAATGTTTGCTTTCAGTGTTTACACTTCGTAGGATAATCTCTTCAGAATAGGTATCACCCAGATAATGTCTGGAGATAGCTAAAGAAGTCAGACAGTAGGTTACCTGATCTGTGTGTGCCACTGATAGGAAACATGTATTGCATACAATACATATGTGTTGATACTCAGGAAATTCATTGAGTCTTTGAAATTCTAGAGAGATACTTTGGGTACAAGTAGCATCTTGTATCTAAACTGTTTTTATTTGCTCTAGAATTTAGGACAGCCATGGCCCAGTGTATTCATTGCACAATTTCTTTCCTTCCTCTGTGACTTAGTTGGAAGGCCAACGCTTTTTAACCTAAAATTTCCAACCTAAAAGGAAGAGAGTTGTAGAGAGTGTGGATTGGCTTTGCCTGGGCCATGTGCTCACCCTGGATCAACCATCATGGCAGGACGGGGGCTTTGAATTGGTTATCCTTGGTAGAATGGAGGCAAGTGAGGTGTCAGGGTCCTGACCCCATCTATGCCACCAGGATTCTGAGAAATGAGGGAGGGATGAGTCTTCAAAGGAAAAATAGTTTCCTGGTTAAAAAAAAAAAAGTAGGAGTATGTAAAGTAGGAAAAAAATTTGGAGAAGAATTTCATAGTTAGCATTTTGAGGACACTGAACTGCTATAACCGAGTTGCAAGTGTGCTAACATTATTCTCCCACCTCTGGGCTCTCAGGTAGCCTGGTAGTTGCCTAAGTTCAGGATGCCAGAGTCCTTAGCTGGTAGCTTCTGGCCACCTGGTGTTTATTTACTTACTCCAATATTCTTATACACATGGGAAAGGTTGAGAAGCACTAGAGTGGCCATCCAGGTTCATTTATTTATTCAACAAATGTTTATCAAGAAGCAGTACCATAAATTGAAGTCAATATGTTACACCTCTGTTGATTACTTCTTAGTTTTGAAAGAAAATAGAACATAAACCTAGTGTAGTTGTGCTTGTTAAGAGGAATGGTGAGGTCAGATGTTTAACTGTAATGAATACAAATCCATGCAGAAGCAAAGGCAATGTCATCAATAAGAACTTGAAAGTGGAGGTGTTTTGAAAAGAACAAAATAAATGCCCCAGAAGTAGGAGATAGTGTTTTTCCTCACTTTTCTTTATGAAGTGACCAGATCATATCATTTCACAGGCCTTTAGCTACAAAGGAAAGCAGCCAAAAAGAGAAGACTGAATATTTTGAAAAAGCAAGTTTTCTAATTGTGAGGAAGTACTTGAAGTAGATTCAATTGAAACAAGTTAGGGTTGTAATTTATTACTGGAGGAGTATTATCTATTTAAGTTAACAAGATTACATGAAATGTTTTCATATTTCATGCATGCTTATTTTTTTTCTCACCTTATAGAAAGAAGCTATATTATATATAAGCAATCATTTGGCTTAAATTTATGAGCGAGTTGATAGTAAAGAAAAATCTTAGACTACTAATAAACAGAAGCTATGTCAATAGGTGAGAGTAGGAGTTTAGAGGTTGACTTCACCTGTTTCGATGATCACTTACCTTCTATAGTAGAATCTGCTGGCCTGCAGAATACTTACCTAAGTATTGCGTTTTATGTAACAAATATTGATAGAGATGTGCCATACTTGAAGTATGTTTTGGCATTACTGTTATTATTGTTCTGAAGTATTAATAGAAATTATTTTTAATAATACTAATTAATAGTAATACAAATGATCAATATATCAATACTAACACTAATAATGTCCATTAGTATTAATGATGATAAGAAAATGTGCTTTTAAAAAACATGTGGTTCTGTTACTTCTTCCTTGTCATGTACTTTGATGGATCCCTCTTCCCCCATAAGTTTTTATCCTTAGTCTCTCACGGGGTTCCCCTGTGGCATGCATTTTCCATTAGGTTTAATACATTTAGGACTGTGGAAGATTATGAAGCTAAGTAGCCTGAAGGGAACTTGGCTTTGTGCGCACCATTTTAGAGTTAACTGGATACAGATGATGTTAAAATAACTAGATAGTTACCCAAAGCCGCAGCAATAAATCAAGTAGTAAAAAAAGTAGTAAGGAACTTTTCCCCCCATATATGTAGAAATGTCAGTAGTTACTAATAATCCCTATAGTTTTCTTCTGCGGACATGAGACGTACTTTGCAGAGCTACAAGCTCCGGTCAGGCCGCGCTCAGTAAAAGTTAAGTGCCTGTTACACTGTTGAGGGAGTGTCGTGGAGTGTTCTGGGGAGAGATCCAAGAATGAGAATCCTGTGCGCATTTCCATGGGTCTTAAAAGTTGTCAACACTTTGATTTAGTTTAGAGAGAGGTTTCCATATCAGAGTCTATGCTTATAATAAATGGAGTGCCGTCCATTTCCTTAATTTGTGTGTGTTCTTTTTTTTCTGGAAGCAACAGTTGATAGGTTCACATGCTTTTTGGTTATATTTATATATCAGTTACTGCCTTTCTGATAACAGTGAGGAATGTTTTGTGTGTGTGTGTGTGTGTGTGTGTGTGTGAGATTTTTTTTTTTTTTAG